TATATATGTAAATATATAATCATGAGTGCCTTGGTTTTGTTTCTCTAGAGAACCATGCCTAACTCATAACCCTATAGGACAGGACGAAATTGCCCCTGTGGGTTTCTGAGCCCTGTAACTCTTTATGAGAGTAGAAAGCCTCATCATTAAAAGGCCCTGTTTCTCTCCCATGTAGTGGTTGGTAGTTTTGAACTGAGGAACTTGCAGTTAGTAGCCCAATGTGTAACCAATATACCACCAGGGCTCCCTAACAACCCTGTAAGGGGGACATTAATTATACCCCCTCTTAGAGAAGAGAACGGATTTGTTCAGAGCTACACCCAGTCAATTCTAGAACAGTTTCTTCTTCCTTGAACTCTTTGTTTGTCATGTATTTTTAAATTGTGGCAAAAGTATACACGACAAAACATTCTCCAATTCCACAACTTCTCCATGGGTAATTCAGTGCCATTAGTTATACTCGGTGTTGTACAACCATGACTGATATCCTTTTCCATATTACTCCACCACCACTAAGATAAACTCAATGCCCATCTCTGTCATCCATGGTAACTGCTGGTCAAGTTTGGCTTCTTTCTTTTTTTTAAGTATTTAGTATTTTAAATTTAGTATTCACATATCATACACTTCCATGGTTAAAGCTCTTTGAAAGAGAATTGTAATACATCATCACAATTAACTCTATGCTCCTCCCCCACGCCTGCACTCCTTGCTCTCCAAATCCCCTCACCCACCTGCTCTCCCATCTCACCCCACCGCCCCCTCTCCGATAAGCCACTGTATCAGTTATTCTCTCTATGCATCCACTCCTGTGCTGCACAAACTGGGAAACCCAACAGAAACAAAAAGCAAAACAAAATGGCAAGAAGAAAATACTGATAATATAAAGACTATAACTCTATGGGAGTTAAATGCCTTGTGTTTCTCCCATGGATCAGCTGATGGCTTTGAACTACTGAACTTGTGGGTAACAACCCAACACATTACTACATAACTACCTGGGCTCCTCTCAAATGCACAAGGCCCTGGCATCTCCTTAGGAATTCGGAGTCTGGGAAGAGGCTGAGAATCTGTTTGTTGCAAGTGCCTCAGGTGAGTGGGCACCACTAGGGCCGAGGACACCTGTCCTGGTTATTGGAGGCGTGTGAAGAAGGAATTCAGGAACCAGCAGAGAGCCACTCAGGAGCCGTAAGTTCCTTTCAGATGGAAAGGAATCCTGGCAGCCCCTCTTTGCATCTGGAGACCGGGATGTGCCCCTGCCCTCTCTCCCTCCCTCTCGCCCTCAGTGGCCTCTGACTGGTCATGCCTGCTGGCCTCTGCCTCCATGGGCATCGTCTCTGTCCTTATGTCCCGAATTCCGGGAACTGTGACTGGGTCAGTGAGTTGGTCCTCCGTGGTGCGGGCTTTCTTTCTAGCCTTTCCATCAGGCTCTATCTCTGAGGCCACCCACGGCCCTCAGACTGGGGCAGCCAGCCCCGCGTGAGCAGTATGTGGAGCAGGGTCGGCCCAGAAGGGAAGAGCAGGCTGGCCTGTCGGCAGGGGAGCGAATTCCTGACACGAGCAATGCACAGGAGTGGGCTGGTTGCTGACTGACCATGCACTCCCCAGAGCCTGCTTCATTGGACTTCACCTGTGCCCCAAGACGAGACTTTCTACTCCCCTGAGCAGTGAGAGTCTCAGAAGCTCCTGGGAGCAGGTCTGACCCGTCCTAGAGGGACGCTACAAGTCAGAAGCGGCTGGATGGCTGGGAGACCGTTGGGCCCGAGGTGCTGGTCCCGGTGCCGCCTGCCCTGGGAAGCCCTTCTCAGCCAGTCTAGCCACAGAGAGACGGACACTGAGGAGTGGTCTGACTGTGGTAAACAGGAGGGTGAGTCAAGATGTCCTGCTACATGGGTTCCAGCTCATACATGCACTGGCTTATTCCAAACACAGTGGGCTTAAACATGTGTCTGTGGCCAGCAGATGGGCGCCTGCTGAGGGTGTGGGTGCTGGTGTGGTCCAGGGTGAACAGAGCTGCCGCCCCTGTGGGAATGCTGCTTGCGGAAACCCCCCAAGGGCACCCTGTGAAGCCAGCTGACAGTCCACGGTTTGCTTGTTTCCTTGGTGGCTGTTTTCAGTCCATGACGTCAGGCTGGTACTCGGTCCCCTTCTCTATCTTTTCTTGGAAACGCATGGCTCCAGGGTGAGCATCCATCTCAGTTTCATTTGGTTTCTGGCACCTCGGTTGTAAAGGGCCTGGGTACCTGCTCTGTCTGCCTAGTCCACCATCTGGCCAAGTCTCTGCCCTTCTGAAAGCAGTGTTTCCTTCTCTGAAGCACCCACGTTCTTTTGGAGAGCGTGTTGAGTTTTGGAATTACCAGGAAGGGTATAGGGCAGGACCACGGCTGTGGGGCCAGGCTTCCCATTGAGTCTCTCCGAGGGCAGCCTTTGTCCCATTGAGGAGTAAGCAGGCATTTTGTCATGATGGAATAATACGCCCTGGTGAAACTTTCCTTTGTGAGTCACCCTTTGTGATGCCCAAAACAGCAGCCCGCAGAAGCATCTGAGCTGAACTCTGCCTGGGCTTCAGCTGGCTCCGCGGGTCCCATTGGAAGCATTGTTTGCACGACTCTGAAGGACCGTGACATGCATGTGACAGAGTTAACTTGTGTCCAGCCATCACTGACCGCCGAGACATGATGCCAGCGCGTCTATCTGGAGTAATCCAGTGCCTGTATGGACTGGAACCCTGGGCAGTGCTTTATGACCTGTCCTCCGTTTCTTGCTAAGGAGCCCTGGTGGCGCAGTGGTTCACACTCATCAGCTGGCTCCCCGGGGAAGGATGTGGCCGTCTGCCTGCATAAAGCTCCCGGCCTTGGGGCGCTGTGGGGGGCAAACAGGCCCACTCAGCCGCTGCCCTCTTTGCAGCACAGGTTCCTACATTTAGTACGAAGAGCACGATGGGATTTTTCAAAAACGTATTTGCTGCAAATATTTTAAATTTCAGACTGCATTTCTCTTACCTGTAGCTCGTTGACTGTTCTTGTGTGGCCTCATCAAAAGTAACTTACAATTAATATGGAGGAGTCCTAGTGGCATAGTGGGTTACGTGTTGGATGGCTAACTACAAGGTCAGTGGTTTGAAACCACCAGATGCTCGGCAGGAGAAAGACGAGGTGTGGAAATCCACATGGGCAGTTCGGCTCTGTCCTGTGAGGTGGCTATGAGTCGGAATCGACTCGAGGGCAGTGAGCTTGGTCTGCAGACACCAGCAGTCATCCGCCTCTCCCTCCCCTTCACGCGGCGTCTCGTGGGTGGGAGCCCGAGGTTGCCTTACAGGGGTAGCTATGGTGAGGCT